CACTTGCTTTTTATGCTTTATTACATTTTATTATGCTGATTTCTTTTATTCTTGCAATTGCAATAATTCATTGGCTTTGGCCATTTATTGCAAAATTACTCGCTCAGATCGTCGATATATCTTGCATGCTTAGCGCATTTATTCAAGCAAAATTGAAAATCCTTTTTAACTGTTCAATTTCAATTTATATTGTCGTACATCAAGTTCAATAGCATTTCTAACATTTATATTTGATAAAGAGCGGTGAGTAAAAAGGAACTGGTGATACTTACAAGAAAGGCAGTGGTTCAGTAACATACACATATACATATATTGTAATTGAATAATTATGCAGGAGTTGCCATACTGATAAATAGATCAATGATTCATAGCACTAACGTCACTGAAAATCACTAATTGTTATAACAATTAATGAAAAAATATATATTTAGATTGGTGCATGTCGAATTGATAAATTTGTGACAAAACTCTTTAAATGTCATGTCAAATACTTATTAGTATTGAGTATTATTGTAACAAACCCACTTTAGTCCCATAAACAGGTAGCAATGAGAAACGTCATTATGTCTTTAGAGAGATGTTGCCTAACTCCATTATAAGTGGAGAGACAATTGAAAAAAGCTGAAATCTGAGTCTGGCAAAATTATCACAGTGACATAGAATTTGTTTTATTGTTACCTATTTTTCGTAACAAAGTCTGCTGCTGTCGTCTCTTGCAATACCTAGGGTCGATAAATGCTTTTTTACTACGCAATGTCCAGTGAGAAACCCTGTGACAAGTCGCATGCCATTTCTATTCATCATTAGAAGCTCCCTCATTCTGGCTTTTGATCTATTTGACATGAATGCCTTAGCTTATCTGCAGAAGTAGAAGTAGTAATTATATACATATTTAAAATGTTTAAAGCTGCTGCTTTAGAGACATGTAATATGGATAGTTATATGATGCATTGTCACGGCAAACCAAACTTGTTATACAAAGAGTCATATCACAGTTTTCAATTTAATTTTTCCATTTACCACTTTTTTAGCACATTTTCTTGTATCGTAGATACGTAAGATATTGTATCATAAGATAATCTGTGAATATTCATACAAATATAATCATAATTGCCGCAAATACTAGCATATATTACTGAGCAATACTGTTTTGATCAACGTGATGAGCCATATAAAACCTAGTCATCGTGCCCAAAATTAGATCGAAATTTCTCTTTTTTGTATTAATAGCTAGGATAGCTCACGGTTTTCCACATATGTTACAAGAATATATATTTCGTAACCCTAAATGTTCTCGTAATATAAATGGAAAGACTAGTTCTTTTTGGTTTAGTTTATTGAATTTTTTTGTTTCATTCTAAGTATATACATTTACATCAGATTAACTTACAGGAAATAATCTGATAGTAATAATAATGTTACCGATCAGATCATGTTGGTATACTGAAAATTAATGAACTTTATAGACTAGGCCACATTAGTACACATCGAACTAACCAACATTACCGACTAAGCCATATTAGTACATTGGTAACTAATCAACATAACCGACTAAACCACGTTGGTATACTGGAAAGCTAAACTAATCTTATTGAATCTTATTGAATCTTATCTTATTGAAATGCATCTGTTCTGCTACGAATTCTCGGTGTTGTCTTTTTTGTCACTTCTTGTACTGTGAAGTGAACTTTTGTTTAATTTTTGCCTCCTTTTATATCTGGTTTCAATTCTAGTTTGTACGGTGTGTAGTTCATCTTGGATATGTTATTGCCCACTAAATCATTCTCTTGTTTGCGAAATGGTTTGCTGTTTTTGCTATTCCATTGCAATCACACGGCAAGTGATCTTCTAGTGTTCCCATGTGATCAGTGCATTAATTCGTCAACAAAATTTAAGAAGGAGATAAATAACATAACTGCCATGCCAAATGACAAGCCCAACGTCAATTTAATAGACGTTAGTCATTCTATAGTTTTGTCAAGAGGATATTACATAACCATCTCATAAACTGCAGAATTCCAAAGCACGGTAAAGGATTTGTTAGCTCTTTCAAGTCAGTCCTAATTAAACAACAAAGTAAGAAACTATAAAAGCCAAAACCAGTGTAAAGGATTTGTTAACTCATACAAGACAATCTTAAAAAGACTTATTAAGTTAAACAGACAAATAAACTTATCGGCAGACATTTTTTAAAAAATTATATTCTTTAACTTAAAATAAGTGGGATATGTATTAAAATTAATAAAGAAATAATGATTAAACTAAGTAGTAGTAAAATTTATGCAAGTTTTTGAAAGAACAATAAAGACACCAACTTAGCAGAAATAGCCTTTTCAGTTAAGATCAGAGGACCTTTGAAGATCAGAGATTTTTCGCTTCTCTGAATTAATTATTAAAGGTTTGAATACATTCTCTCTAACCCCTCATGACTGCGTGCTGACAGTTTGTTTTATTAACCCACAAAATAAAAAAGAACCACACGAAGTAGTGGCATTTATTAAAAACCTTACAGTCGAATTATATTTATGAAATGAGTAAATAAAATGAAAGCAATAAAGAGTTAAGTACAGTTAGGGCCGAGTTACACAGACAGTCATATAACGAATAGTAACGAGAATTTCAGGCTCTATTAAGTCAGGCCAAGAGGCATAATATACAAAGAGTCATATCACAATTGTCAAATAATTTTAATCAAAAGCTCTTTCTTTCACATATGACATGAGCATGAATGTCTATATAATAAGCCCTCAAAATAAGTAATAAAAATAGTTTTCGATTTTTGAAATATGTATGCTAGACTAGTTTATTTAGGATAAATATTCATTTGTAACAACTAATGATCATTTTTTTTTAAATAACAATTAATTAATGTTTTCATCTTTTACATCCGGATTATGATATTGCCCTTTGTAGTATTTGTTATGAACTTAATATACTCTGTAGCTTTAGAACTACTTTTATTTAAATTGTTCTGTTTATCTATAACTCAAAAATATATTATGGTACACTTATCATGCTTTTTTCTGACACTATTGAAAAGATTTACACTCAATACTTTAAGAAGCCATTCTCTAATATATCCATTTTGTTTCAAGGCACACGCTCTTCAGCATTTAATTAAATGTATACCGTAAGTAACGGAGACTTGTATTGACTCTTAAACATTCTTAAGAAGATTTCGGAAACTAAAAAGAAGGAAATAGAATATATAGAGTTTTTAAACTTTAAAATTTAACATCTAATCTATTTTCACTTTAGTAATATTTTGCAGCACTGTCTCTCGTTTTCTTAAACGTTTGTATTTTAATAATAAAAGCAATATTTATTAAATTTTAACGTACTCATATTACTTTTAATGCATTATGTGACATTTAAGTTATTTAAGTAACATGCTTAATTGCTTATTTTCCAGTTCGTTGCTTGGATGAAATGATACAGAAAAATATTCGCTCCTTGCGCTCCTTGGGCTCCTTACGCTTCTTAATAACTTTTAATACGAATATTTCATCGCAATTGGTTCACATTCCACAGTTGTTTTATTATTTGCTTGTCTCATTCGATATTTTCCTCATTATCTTCTTAATGATATTTTTTTAACACTACAGCATTTTATCATTTAAATGGACATGTAAACTCATTAAGATGTAGCAATAAATAACGACCAGGATTTCCGCATTATTTTCCTACGTATTTTTATACATTCAACTAATTAATTTATATGAATTTAAACTGATATCTTTTAAGTGCATACATTTTACATAAATAATAAATTTTCGTTAAAGATATTGTTACTAATGCATTCCATTAAAAATATTAATTTATTGAAATGTATTTATTTATTGTACAATAAATTTATTTGTTGGTGTTAAAATAAACGATGACGAAAAATTTAATTATAAATGCTTATTTGCATATCGTATAAATACAAACTACGTAGATATTTATAAAAATATCTTTTATCTCTCTAAATTGAAGTGTTAAAACTGGAAAGATATAAGATCCCACATCACTAAGAGTCCTTTTGTTCTGAAATTAACTTCTCCATCTACTCGACCTACTAGTACAAACGTACTCGAACATCGTATCAAACTTCACAACAGCACATTAAACAATTTAAATGCCATTCCTATGGGTTCATTCAATCCAAATTGTACTTAAAAGAAAATATTTTCAAGAACGAAATTAAATTTTTAAAAAATTTTAATTACATTTTCGCAATTCCCAAACCCTTTCTTGAATTACAAATATCTTTTCTCTGTATTATAGTTCAATTATTTTCGAATAAAAGCATTTATATTTAATTGTTTTTCAATGTAAACTCAAAAACACAATTTATATTTATATATATAACTGTATGCTTGTTCTTATTAATTTTCTTTTCTTATATTTTTTTGTATTATGTATCCTGCTTCCTACTTTCTTGTTTCCGAAATCTGCTCAAGAGTATTTAAGGGTCAGCAATAAATCTCCGTTGCTTGCATTATAAGTTAAATTAAATGCTGAAAGGCATGTGCCACGAAACGAGAAGAATGCAAAGGATATACTGGAAAATGGCTTCAAAAGCAAAATAAGAAAATCATAAGGACGAAAACAATGTAAGAAAGAAAAAAATTTTAAATGAATTCAAATGAAAAAATTAAATAGAGAGTTTTCGTAATATGTTCCGAAATATGAACCAAATGCTTGACTCAGTGGAAGACAGACGAACAAACAGCATAACTTCGTCTAAATTACAAACGATGGCCTAATACAAGCAACCAGCTCCAGTACAGTGGAAAATTTTATAACAAAAATTCTTTGATATCCTGTGAAATCCTTTTCAAAATAATTCTTTAAAAATTCATATAGAAGACAAATATATGTTTAAATATAGAACAATTTATTTAAATGTAGTTTATTTCCTGCATTAAAGCTTTAGATTTAATTATTATATTATACTAATATGATTTTTGATACGACTTGACTTCATTTAACTTGAAAGCAATTGCTCACGATTCACATTATTTTATATTTCCTCTTTTCTTTCTTTCTTCCTTCTCCTTTTCCTTCTTTTTCTTCCTTTCCTTTTCTTTTCTTCTTTTGTATTTATGTTTCGCGCACACATGTCTATGCCGATGTTGATGCTTATGTTCATGATTATGTTCATGATTATGTGTATGCTTATGTGTATGCTCATGTGTATGCTTATGTGTATACTTATGTGTATGCTTATGCGTATGCTTATGTGTATGCTCTTGTGTCTGCTCTTGTGTATGCTTATGTGTATGCTTATGTGTATGCTTATGTTTATGCTTATGTTTATACTTATGCTTATGCTTATGCTTATGTTTATGCTTATGCTTATGTTTATGCTTATGTTTATGTTTTGAGTTACTGTTTTCAATCAACTGAATTAATTAATAAATATAAAATATATGTACATATATATCAAAATCATTCATCTCACTAAAAAAAGCTTAATTCGAATACTTACTGAATTACAAGTTAAGATAAATTTATCCATTTGTCTCTCAGTAAAATATAATAATGGTTCTCTAATAGGAGATTGTTTCACTAATTCAAAAAGACTGACACGCTGCTAAAATATGATATAATATATTAAATTTATTTTAATTATGCTTTATAAGACTTAGGTGAATTGTGTTCAGTATAGCTTACATTATTAGGTTCTTTAGATTTGAGTTCATTCAACTTTGGTTGACTTGAATCAGAAATCTCATCAATATTTTCTGTACTAAAGCCCGATTCATCTTCCGACACCATATCAGCTTCATTACTCAGATCAAAATTATCTAAATGAATAGAAATAGATCATTATAAATTGTAAGTTGTTAGTATTTTTGCAACAAACAAAAAACATGGAAATGAAAAAAAATACTTAAGTAGTTGGCTTTATTAATATAACCCAGCAATGAACCAGAAACTTTCACTGGAGAGACACAATAAAAAAGTTATCTCAAAAAATTTTTTATGTATTAAAAACGCAATACATGAGTTTTTATGGACGTGCATAAAAATTATCACAGTTCTAGCAGTACAGTGATTTAGAAGACTTTACCAATCTCTTAAAGGAAAATGACTTTCTTAAGGCGTTGTAAGTAGCTATAAGGTTAAGAATAAATGTACAATAGAAACTATCTTTCTGCAGAAATAATCATTTTCCTAGAAGAAGGGAAATCTTAATTGAGCACTAGAGCAACTGCTCAATAGGCCCGTACTTTTCAACCCCAATACTCAGAAACCGGACTGAAGATATTATTCCCTTCTTTATCGTTACAACTCCTACAAAGTCCACTTCTCAGAATTTTCCAATCTGTTTTACAACGTTATGTAAAATTTACAATATGTGTTCAATATCTTCTCAAAAGTGATATATTTAAAACAACTGCAGTATTACATTTTACATGCCGATAGCCAGCCTCTATTTTCGCAACGCAAAACGGATAAGGAAAATTTTTTTTTTATTTTTTGCAAGAACCGGTACCAACACCTTTCCAAATATAGCATCGCTAAAACAAAAACACAACATCTTAGGGCCATGTTTTCAAGTGGTTAACTCTTAAATTGACTCTTGACTCTTAAATTTATGCGTTTTTAAGTAGAACTGTATTAACAAAGACTAGCTTCTTTATACAACCAAAAGTACAAAAGTAATAATAGAAAAATGAGTCAGTGCAATATATTTTCCATTAACTTGTTGTTAAAAAATTTCTTTTATAATTTAATACAATTATTTTAGAGTAAAGTAGTAAACGCATATCGAATTTATATCGACTTTACAACATAATTTTTTTCTAAATAATTCTTTAATGTATTTATTAGCTTCCATTTGAGGTATATCATGATCTGAGACAAATCAGTCTACAACAATAATCCACGACCACTGGTCTAGAATATTCCACAAATGCAGTTGTAAACTAATATTTAGCATTTAGTGATTAGAAGTGGAAACTTTTTTCAGAAAATAAGTCACTATTACAAAGCAGTATTTTATTATTACATATATCAATTTTAGCCATTTCTGTGGTTTTTGAAATATGGTTTGGTAATGTCTCTAGCAACTACACAACAACAGCTACTGTGTAATTTTTATGAGTTATAGAAAAATGGCCAAAGTTTTCAAAACACCTCGCATGTCTTTATTTTTTATTCTCTCTAGTTAAGAATTGATCAATTCGTTGACAAATGCTATCGACTACTTGTTACTAGTATTGTAAATAAAACGGCCCCCATTTCAGAAGGATCTGATTCACTTTTTCCAACACGTATAAAATGCACTTAAACATTTAAATTTGACGTGCACCTTAGGTTCATATAAAAGTATTAACTTTAAAAATTAACAGTATTCAACAATGTTCAATATTTTCAAAAAATCTTAAAGTATGCAACGTAGTTTCGAAATAAATAGATTTACCTGGTGGTTCCGTCACTGCGAAGTAAAACGGTCTCACTTGTTCTGTCAAATTTTTATTTCGCATAATTTCATCAAAAGTTAAAGGCTCCGACTTAGGTAACAATGCGGTTGGAGGTACATAATTTCCATATCGCGGAAAAGATATTGAACGTGGAGTAGCCATTTTAAATAGTTTTTTTAGACAACTAAAAAAGAATTATTAAGAAATCTTAAACAAAATTCTCTGTAAATTTGGTTACTTTTTCTCACTAGATACAATAAGCAAACAAAAATGAATCTATGCACGGAAATATGTGGTTACATCTTGTACATAAAATAATGTATTATTTTATTGTATATGACATTAATATTTTTTTAATATATGTCAACATATGCACACCGTAGCCAAAATATGTATAAATCCAAATTAAATTAAAATTATAGAAAAGTCAAAAAGAAAATCATGTATAATGTCAAAATTATAAAATGGTTGTCAGAATTGAGAAAAACAGTGTTGTAAAACCGTTAGTAAATTAATAACAGTAAGGTACATTCAAACAGATGCCTTAAGGTATAATAATATCATACGGTTTATAATACAATACCGTCAATGTTCTTTCTGTTTTATATTTGAATATATTTATATTTGATTTATATTGAAACCAGGAAACCAAGAGTCGTTACCTCTACGAGTTACGATATATAATTTCATATTTCTTCACGGTGGCATACTGTTTTCGTTTTCAAAATCAACAATTCAACCAATGTTTAAAAAATGAGATCCCAACATTGTCTGATTTCGCAATTCCTACTCGACTGTTGATTACATTTCTAATCTGACCTCTATAATGCACTTAAATTAAAGTAACAATAAGAAAACATATGCATTTTTTGTTGATTTCTTATGTTCATTTCACCCTATTCCTAGGCATGCCTTATTTTTCAAATTAGTTACTCTAGGTTTGTCTCACAAGTTATTGACCACGCTAATTAAATTATATTCGAACCGCTTAAAAGACGGTAATCTTATGTCTTCTTTGTTTAAAGTCACTCAAGGTGTAAAACAAAGATGCTTGCTCTGCCCGATTTTGTTCTCTCTATACTTAAATGATCTGTATGATTTTTAACGAGCGGATTACCTATCAACTCAACTTATATAAAAACGCATTTTTATGCTGATGTGTTACAAATTATGATAGATGATATGATTAGGTATTGTTCACAATGAGGTCTTATCGCGAATCTACATAAATCTGAGATTATGATTTTCAGAAAAGGTTCTAGTGTAAGTAATTCGTTGTAGTGGAAGTTTGGGGAAAGTCACATAGAAGTTGTCAATGAATATAAATACCTCGGGATATTAATTACGTATAAAGTCTCTTACAATAAACATTTGATGTCTTAACTTTCATCAGGTAAAAGTACAATTAACTTTATGTGGACAAAGTACTTGGCTCATCCTAAAATACCTTTCATAAAAATTTTCTACACGGCAGCATGTTTAATACTACTCTACGGTGCATTAATATTCAAAGGTGAACCTCACAAAATGTCACCTACGGTATAATTAAATTTGTAGTGTAAACACTGAACTTTAATACTACAATTACTGTCACATCAATTAAATGTGAAGTATAAACAAAAAAAAAAAAATTTAATATACAAAACAGGAATTATAATTTATGTGTAACTTGATTGATTCTTACAATACGTTTCAATTCTTCTTCTTCTTCTTCTTCTTGAGTTAGTGCTATTACGCACTTTTACTCTATAATGACTGGGGGGTTAATCACTACCCCACACTAGGCTTTAACTAGGCTAAAAAATCATATCATTTATTTGTCTTTTAGTTGATGACGGACCTTAAATCAGCATATCTTCCTGAGAGTCCAGAAGTGGACTTGAGGATTATTATGGCGGGGTTAAGTAGCGTATCAACTTTAGTGAATAATTTTAAAGCTCTGTCTCTGATATATTTTTTCTGTGTGTTGGAAAAAATTATATCTAACGTCTAATTTTGATTTATTGCTGTTAATACGATTGTTTTTACTGTCACTTCACTTTGTAATTCATAGTGATTGTGTTGTAAAATTCTGGCCTACTTTTCCTACAAGAAAATTAAACACCTAAGTTAAAGGAGTAGAGTTCATTAAGAATATGGCTGAAACGGATAATATTGAAGACAAATTAAAACCACCGGTCAAAAACCCCCAATTGAAATTGGTATCATCGGCTGAATTCAAAACTATGATAGCGGAACTCTCCGAAGTTAAAAAACTTAATGAACTTTTGCAAGAAAATTACTCAAAGTTGTCGCTGCAATTCCAAGAGTTGAAATCACACTGTGTAGAGGTGCACCAGCAGCTGCAAAGCAGCTCAAAGCCATATACTATTAATTTACAAGGCCGCAACAACAAAAGGAAGAAGGTTTCACCACCCTCCCCACTTAGCTGCTCCCATGGCTCTGTTTCCAGCGATAAGGATATGGAGTTGGTGACCGCCGCTGAGGAGCCCATTGCATCAGCCTGTGGGTCCTCTAGCTCTTATACTAAAGATTTCCCAGCTTACGATACGAAAATCAAATCGTCTAAAAAAATTAAGGAAAAAGTCCCCAAATCCACACTCAGTGTAGTGGTATCAGAGCTGATTAAGGTTCAAGAAGGCGCAAACGTCACAGGTGATTCAAGTAATCGCAGCGAAGGGCAATCGGTTTTTGATGGCGCGACCTCTGACAAGAAAGTAGGTAAAGTTGTCCCCATTGTGCTACGTCGGACTAACACTTGGGGCTCTTTGGTTAAACAATTCCACGTAAGAAACTTTAAGTTTAGTGAGGCTAAAAAGGTGCATCTTGGAATTCAAATAACGCCAGTAACAATTGATGACCACCGGAAAATGACGAAATTTCTTACCGAGATTAAAGAGCCTTATCACACACACTTTCTCCCTGATGAGAAGTGCCTTAACATAATAATCAGAGGCCTGGAGGGACAAGATCCAGAGGATATAAAAGAATATCTTGTAGAGAAAGGGTTTAGCATTCTTGAGTGCCACTTCCTTAAGACGAGACAGACAGTCGACAAACTTATTAAAATTCGTCTCCCTGCGGATCAAAAGGATATATACAACGTATCCAATGTTTGCCACTTAAAAGTGACTGTTGAAGCTCAACGCCCACTTAAAGGTCCCCCTCAGTGTCACAACTGCCAACAGTTTGGTCATGTTGCCACTAATTGTAAGGCCCCACCCAAATGTGTTAAGTGTGAGAGCACACATCATCACTCCCTATGTATGAAGTCTCGTGAAAATCCACCGAAATGTTCAAACTGCGGCGGTGATCATCCGGCAAATTATAGACGATGCCCGTGTGCTCCGAAAAACATTCCAAAAAAAAAATAACACTGTGATACCACCTAACCCCTCAATAAAGCCATCAATGACGTATGCGGATGTTGCTGAAAAAACCTTCTCCCACCAACTCCCCACCTTGCCACATCCACCGGCCGCCCAATTAGAAAAGTTAATGAGCAACTTCCAGGAACAGCTGAACTCGATTATGAAGAATATGATGCAGGCCATGCTACAAAGCCTACTACCAACTTTAACTTCACAATGAACACACCATTACATTGCTTTAAAGTTGTGACCTGGAATGCAAATTCCATAACAAACAAGAAACACGAGGTTACACAATTTCTTCATCATTTTGAAATAGACATTATGGTCTTGCAAGAAACACTCCTTAAACCCTCAATGCAGCTAAAAATCCCTAACTACATCATTTACAGATCAGACAGGGTCTTAAGAAGTGGAGGAGGCACTACTATCCTTAATAGGAGAAACCATCTCAAACACCATCTCAGAATTGATAATCTACAAGCACTCGAATCTACTTCAGTGGAGGTAGAATGCCCAGCGGGTGATATCATTTTTACCTCAGTTTATAGACCGCCAAACGTGAAAACCTGTCTGGGGGACCTAGCAACACTGATTAGTAGTAACTTACCCACATTCCTTGCTGGAGACTTGAATGGTTATCACAGAAACTGTGGTGATAGAAGTACGAATAGGGCTGGAAGGGAAATTGTCCAGTTTGTCAATGACTATATGCTCCAACTCCATACGCCTAACGAGCCAACTCACTACGGCAGCGGAGCAGGCCATATAATAGACCTTGGCATGTCCAACCTAGATTATACTGTACTTGTGGAAGTTTTAGATGAGCTGGACTCCGATAATAAACCGGTTCTTTTCATTCTTGAAAACTGTCCCATGAATATTATGACCCCTACATTCTCTACCACTGACTGGAATGCTTTTAAGAACTTGGTAGACACCAGCTGCCTTAATAACCATCCAGAAACCTCAGAAGAATTGGAAAACTGTATACAGAACCTGACGCATCTATTAAAACAAGCCTTGGATAGCTGCTCCACCCTCAAAGATAGAAAACCATGTAGTTATTTTAACTTACCGCAGCATATTAAAAACATGATTAGAAATCGAAATAGAGTCCGAAAATTTGCTCAAATAACATGTGGCCCAAAGAGCAGAAGAGAGGCCAATCGTCTTTCAAATGAAATTAGGAAAAGGATCTATGCATATAAAAATGTGAAATCGGGTGAATTTCTGATGGGTCTTGAAAAAGGATACCCGAAAGGGTAATTCTTAGCAGATTACCGAAAGGGTAATTCTTAGCAGATTAAATGATGTAGTGGCTTCACGCAATATACTCCCTGACGAACAATTTGGCTTTAGAAATGACCTATCCACAGAGCTTCAATTGGCTAGAACGATCCAAATGATCCAAACAGCCCTTAGTAGAAGAGATAATGATAATTTTTGATATTTCTAAAGCCTTTGACAAGGTCTGGCATGATGGTCTAATAGTTAAAATGTCTCATCTAGGTGTTCCAGGCGGACTAACTAAGATCATCGGCAGCTTCCTCCTTGGAAGGTCCTTTCGCACGAAAATCAACAGCGCTCTTTCGTCAGTCCGATCTATAGAAGCAGGGGTTCCTCAGGGATCGCCACTTTCTCCCACTCTCTACAACATTTATACATCTGATATTCCAATGTAAGGTCCCTCGACTTTGGCGTTATATGCTGATGATACGTGTATGCTATACTCAGATAAATGTGCTCTCAACATAACGAACACACTTCAAGAGCATATAAACATCATTCTGGAGTATTTTCAGAAATGGAAAATAAAAATCAATAATGAAAAAACTAAGGCTTTGTTTATAACGCGTAAGTGAAGACAGAATCCGTCGAGAGTGAGAGTGGGTGATATGGTGATAAACGGGGAGGATAGCGTTAAATATCTTGGCATCACGTTGGACAAACGATTCACATGGCTTAAACATGTTCAACTAAAAAGAATTAGCTGTGCCAAAATTCTTCATTACCTCCAACCGCTATTTAGAAAAGAAAACCTCAATGCTAAGAACAGGAAAGTGATATATAACCAAATAATTTGTCCGTCACTTCTATATGGTTGTGTAGCGTTTAGCAAAGCTTCAAACGCTACTAATCGCCAGTTAGAAATTGCGCAAAGCCAGGCTCTGAGAAGACTTTTGAAACTTTCTTGGTATATTAGGGCGAATGATATTCTTAGGGACCTCAAGATTGATCCCATCAAAAAATACATAAAGGATAGAGCCCTGAAATTATTTGCGAAATCTGACAGACTTACTAACACCAAATCAAATCTTAGAATGATCAAATCTTAGAATGGTTACCAAACCCATTCTCGAATCAAATCTTAGAATGGTTACAGGCTCCTCGGGGAGGTATGCAGATCTGAGGTCAATTATTACTTAGTCTGATGATGTGATAAATAATAATCCAGTCAAGGCACAAAGAGAGGTTTTGAAGAAACCTCGCAGTTAATATAGAGTAAAAGTGCTCAGGTGCACTGACTCAACTTGTCTCTCAGCATAATAATTGATTGAATTGTGTTTCTAATGATGTGCTAATTCACAAAAAAAAACTGTTTAAGCTCGAAACTATAATTCATGTTTTAAAACTTTGACGTTCATAATAAGCGGCTTATGATACCATCAGCAGAGCCGCCAAATCGAAAAATATTTCGATTTCCTTAAGAACATAATTCTAGGCTAAAAATAAGCATTTCTTCGCATCTATTTGACCCTGTAGAAAAATGAGATGATCATCTCTCATGTAAAGTTCTTATACAGCTTCTTGACCGATACCACACAAACTAGTTTTATATCCAGCTAGTTTTTTGCCCATAACCTTAGTAAGATTACATCATTAATGATTCGAAATTGATACGAAAATATTTAGATTTTTGTAGCAAAATTACTTCAAAATAATTTATATTTAAATTTCAACTATTCATAATATTATGGAATCAGTCTATTATATGAAAAATTACTGAGGTTTGCGCGGTGTGACTCCTTTGCGATTAAATATTAAAGAGATATCAGACCAATTTGTATTTGCCTGTCTTAAAAAGTGATCTTTTGGCAAACATTGTCTTTGAGCAGGAAGGTTTTATCGAGAAGACATCAAGTCCAAAACCAAAGTTACCTTAAAACTAAAACCAAATAATAATAAGAATAATAATAATGGACTAAGGAAAGTCCACATTCCTGAACTACTCTGGAAAAGATACAGACAATTAAAATCTCTTCCATAGCTGCCTAACAGTCAGTGACAATATAGACTTTCTGCATCTTCGCGGTAAATGAACATTGAACTGACGAAGGTAAAACGATTTAAAGTCCCTGAGCCAACGGAATCAATCCCAGATATAGTGTTTATATATTTTTTTGAATTATAGTCAACTCCCGCTTTTCAATCTCCTCTTTTAGGAGATCTGATTGAAATGTTATAATGAAAGTATAGTAGATAGAAGCAATACGATTTATCATTATTGATAACTCGTTTTACGACACCCCAGCGTTGTAAAGCGAAACTTAATTGTTAATGTGTTTGTTTAATGTAAAGGTCAGTATGTAATCTATTATATGATACGCAGAGAATTTTTTGTAAAAGCTTTTATTTGAATATACATCTTTCTGTTTTATAAGTATACATATAAAGTCGTAAATGAAGGACTCATACTTTACAAATGGAAATTTAAAAAAAAATGTACAAATGTATGTATTAATACAAATACATTTATAAAATTTAGTCTAATATGTGGTTATTTATCCAATCAAGATGTTTTGCTAAATCACAATATATAACAAATTCGCCCAAGTTGCACTGGCCTTCAAACGTTTCTCCAATAGATACTACTCCTCTCAATGACCAATGCCTATTTTTTCTAATCATAATTCCTGAACCTGAATCACCCGTACAAGGTCCAGATAAATCTCGATTTCCCGCACAGAACGTACGAGGTGAAATTATTGATTTTATTTTATTTGATGATCGCACGCATTCTATTTCACTAACTATTCTAGCATAAGCAATTCTAGGGCTTGTTTCAGAAATGGTGCCATTTTCCGTTGACCCAAAGCCTGCAACATACCCAATTTTGTTTACAAGTTTGCTTAGGTCAGTATCTCCATTCCACAAACAAATTGGACTAATGAAATCTGTAAAACTGTAGAAAATTTCTTGATCAAAACAACTTGTAATTTGAGTGTTCTATATGCTTACGTTATTGATGAATTTAGGTATAATAAAGCAATATCGGCATCTGGAATAAAATCATTTCTATATTCTGGATGTATTATTATTTTCTCAACACCAAAACTCAAGACACCAGTGTCATCTGTCGTATTACTACCACCAAGTTTGACCAAAGTCAGATCTGCTGGCAACGTTTGAAACTGAAAACAATGTGCTGCGGTAATTATTATGCGCTTCGAAATCAGTGAACCACCACAAATAAATACTAGATTTTCATCATTATTCTGGAAGATAGATGCGAGCCAAGGAACCTGTCCATTATTTATTTCATTTCCAAAACTTATAAATGGTGTAAGAGCACCAACTTCTCGTCCGCATGTTCTATTATCCTTCGATTTGTCATTATTATCATCACTTTCATTATCGGTATATATATTTAAGTTATTGTAACCAAGTGGTAACTGCATGGTATGTCCTCCAGTAAGTTTCATACTACCAACTCGTGCTAGAATAGGTAGATTTACGACAATTATAATGTTGTGATATTATAAGTTTCATGTTATAATATGAATCATAATATAAACACAATATTTTGGAAAATATATATACATTATACTAGAAATTTAAATTGTTCCAGCATCGCTATACCTTTCTTAAACTCGAACATTTAGATCGAAAATTAAATCTTCGAAAATTTCACAGCTACTCGAAGATGTTCGAACTGCATTAATATTAAATCATTACTTTCGATTTGTTTGACGTAAAAACATATAACTGCAAATACCCAGTCGCAATATGATGTTAGAACATATTTGTATGGCTCGATATGATCGATTCCAATGATCAAGTATGAGTAAACTAGTATTGTCTGAATAACGAATTGCTTGAAGCCATGAACAAGTCGAATAATAGTTGAAGCGCTAAATATATACACATATGTGATACGCCAATTTTTATTTATATATATATATATATATATATATAGTTGCATATGAAAACAAATAAATAAAACTACTTACGATTTTTATTGGCACAAATTGGTTTGCTATTCACTTGAATCTCTCGTATAACTGGAATTTCAGTTTGATCTGGAAACTGGAAACGATATAAAACAGGTTTTCCCTCCATTACGTCCAATATAGTTTCATCAAGACTTTTGTACGTAAATAGTGCATATTTACCCTATAATGTGTATACTCCACTATATAAAAAAGTCTTTACAAATAATTTTATTTATCATACAAACTTACGCTTGTCAACATTTTATTCTGTGCAAAATCTACTTTGACTTCAGGAGTACCACCTTCAAAGTAGTAATTCGGAATTTTTATGCGTGCAAAAGTTTTATTATTTTCTTCTTCATAAATCACAAAACTGAAACAATTATTGAGCTGCGAAATCGACGGAGGAACATATTCAATGGAAGTATCACCGACGGTATTATTTATGGGCAATTCAATATTAAATTCACCTTCTAGAGCATTATAAGGAGGAATATCTATCGAATACCTTGCGGTAATATTATAAAAAATATGATTATATTTTGTAATACTTACAGTCATCATCGAAGCAAATAGTCTCACCGTTTACAACAATTTTTGAGAGTTTTGGATTCTCCTGTGGAGATGGAAAGCTAAAGCGATACTCCACTGATTTTCTCGCCAATATGTTAGACAGTGTTTCTTCCTGACTTTTAAATGGTAAAAGACTAAATTCTTGCTAATAAATAATAATTCATATAATTAATTTAAAACAAATAATGAAATTTGCTTGGTTTTTGTGATTGAAGTGACGTACGCATGAGATATATTAAATTATCTAATATGAAATATATATAATATAATTTTAAAATTATGGTAGTTAGAAGTGCGGGTAAAAAATGTATAGTAATGAAACTTAGAGGGGTTTTTGAATAACAAAGAAAGAAATAAAGGACAAACACAAAAATTTATTTTAATTTTATTGAAGTTTGGTTGACCATACAACGCTATTTCGAGTATTGCCAAGTACTCTTCATCAGTGGTCTTTGGAAATAATCGAATTTTATTTTATTAGTTTATAGTCCGTATATAATTTGTTTAGACTGCAAGTGCCAGGCTTAGAACTCGTGCCTGTCAAATTAGAAGCGATGACTAATCGTGTTTATCCACAAGAAGCCACGGCTGCACAAACTTTCAATGCTCAAGTTCCAGGTTTTAATGTCACTTATTTTTATTTTAATTAGTGACACTAACTAAAGCACTTGCCGTGCTTTAAATTAGAACGAGCTTATAAACTAAAGCTTTATTTTGGAAACACAAGTTCAACGAATTGAAAGTTAACTTTTGAGTTCGCCTATTCTTTATTTTTTCAAAGCTACTCTTTTTGTAGAGACATTTTGTAATGCATATTGTTTTACTTACTATATGGTCAGCCAAACTTCAATAATTTCAATAATAATTTATTTATTTCTTTGTTATTCAAAAACCCCTCTAAATTTTAATAAAGCTCCTTTGTCACTATACAAAGAAAGTCTAGCTTTACAGCAACATGAATTTTTATTCAATAGTAATAAAACTTGATATAATGTATCAATATACATCGGCAGTTTAATCAGTAGGATAACATACTGGCAACACCTACAATGAAAAATTCTCTTCAATTTTAAAAATTTTAAAAAGTAACAACACTCAAATGATACCTATCCAAAATTCTGTTGTGATATTTATACGATCACTATCATTACATTATATTATCATTACAGCTGTTTTAAAGCCACCACTCATTATATTTTCAAAACAATCGATTTAAACTAACTTCGTGTCATTGACTTATCATTGTTTTATCAAGAAAAAAAGACCGCTTGATTTGATAAATGCTAAATGCTGTTTCATCGACGCAAATAGTAGCGAAGTGGACTGCTGACATAAAACGCAATCATAAAAACATCGATGATGTCAAACTTGATGTTTGATGTCAAAAGTCTACAAGCTCATATTTGTAAATTGTAAAGTGTAGTTATCGGCTTCATTTTGTATGAACACTTAGCTTTTTTGAAGTGGGTGCCGTGTTTGCTGACTATTGACCAAAAGTAAACAACATGTCGACTACTTTGAGATCTGTTTGGAGCTCTTAAAACGAGAAAGAAATGGGCAGTCTAGAGAGTCAAATAGGCAGTCAGCTGCGGCCAAAAAAGTAACATACCTTCTGCTCAAAAAGCAGTTTTTTTGTTGTTTGTTAATAACTGCTTAAGTAATAGACCTTTTTAAAAAAAATTTTTTTTTATGTTATGTTGGTACACCATTTCTTGACATATGATACAAATTTGAACGCCATCTGTCAATTAGTTTGTTTACAGGAGCTGTAAATGTGAAACTACCTCAAGTGCATTTAGCGACTTTTACCATGGAAAATTGTTGTTGTACGCGATTTTTTGACCAAACACGGCACCACTATCATCGCTCAGGCACCATATTCGTCAGATCTGGATCCGTGCGACTTTTTCCTGTTCCCGATATTCGAATTGCCCCTTCGTGGTAAGTGTTTGAGTCGATTGAATCGGTAAAAGAGAATTCGCTAAAAGAACTAAAAGCCATACCTTCACGGGCCTACGAAAAGTATATGGAAGATTGGGTTAATCGTTGGCATATGTGTGTCGCTTCAGAAGTGGCATATTTTGAAGGAAATAAAATAAATTCAGAATAAAATTTAAATTTGTGTGTTTTATTTACAAAATCCGAATACTTTTTAAGCAGAAGGTACAACAGGTTGTGACGTTCGTATTTTGGAATAAGCGTGTGATCGTGTTCATCAACTACCTTAGAAAAGGCCAAGCGATTAATAATTATAGCTACATGGATCAATTGGTGCATATCAATGAAAAAATAGCCTCATACGAATTAGAAAAATGTCCTCTTTTAACAACACAATGCAAGCTTTGCCAAAAAGCTGTTGCCTCATTGATTGCCCTATGACCTTATCAGCCAATATGTTATCTGTGATATAGTGTTTACTTACATTGACTAAATCATACTGATGGACAATAACCTGCAGATGCACATTTGCACCATTTATAAAGCTGCTAGGTACGGTTACTACTGCATACGTCTCGTTGGGTTTTATAACATATCGGAATAAATCCGGACAAGCTATAGTCGGCATTTCTACTTCAGACGCTACAACTGAGTTTAATATAGAAAACACAGCAACATACAGAAAGATCAAAATAATATTTAATGCTTTCATTTTAATCATTATTATGACTTATAACAACAATTTGTAGTTAATATTTTAAACCATTAGAACTATTTAATTTACAATTTAGCTTTACTTTTTGAACACCGAACGTCTATTTGTATGCACCGCTCTGTGCTAACTGAAATACAAACTCAGTTGCAAAGATAAGTGATGCGATTAAATCACTTCAATGCGGTTTTCACATTACTTGGTAATTACAGTTTATAGTTATCATTCAGTATTGTTTCTAAAAGCTACCGCATAATAATTTAGAGAAATTATTGAAATATATAATGGGTTTTTACCATTACTCAAGTTTATCAATATTCATAGTTGCACTCTTTCTTTTTAGAAATTGAAAAAATAGTTTTGGTTTTTCTTTTCAAAGACTTGAAGCCTTAAGTTCTGATGCAAAACTAATGTCTTGTAAAAACTAAAACTATTAACTATTATTATCATTATTTTGATATACATAACTGAACTGAAAAAATTCGCAATATTTGCAATTTCAAAACTGTATGCTAGTTGAATTTGTATAATCTTCTCTCTCAACAACTTGAAGAAGGTTATTAAGTTAAGTCTGATTATATTTCAAAAGTGAATAATTACTCTAATCAATTAAGCATATTAAAATAGAAACATGTTTTAGTTAATAACTGCGCATGAATAATATAAACTTAATTTGTTAACTTTCTTGAAAGATTTTAACAATTGAGAGAACAATCTGGCTCCATTGTTTTTGTTCACCTAAGCATGAAACTGTGAAAGAGCATATTGAGAAGTAATATGAATGTATGAGACAGTAATTATAAAAATTCTTTTCATGAAAGACCACGTAGACACATTTCAACTATTCCGTTACTTATTTCAAGTGCTATTTTCTTTCATTTTTTATAGGTTCATATTTGAGAAGTTATTCACTCTTTAAAATAGTTAAAATAAAATGCATGTGATGTTAAACTATGTTCGTTTACTATTTTCATTTTGGATTATTCATTTTGTCATTTCCAAAGTGAATGTCAATACTACATACTTGAGGTCTGAAACTAAAATTTGTAAAAGTTCTTTATTTCAGCATATTGTTTTCACCATTCTATACATGGTATCATATATGAAATACAATATCATTCGAATATGATCCACAGAACTTAAATTCAGCATTTAAAAAATAAAAAAGTCAAAACTGTTTCCATGGAGTATTCCCAGAGTAAAGCACTTTAGCAGCGTAGAGGTTTAAGGAGTAGTTCATAGACAACCATGTTGCATGGAGAAGGAATAAATTAAGATTCACAAGTCAGTACTGTTCGGTATTTCAAATCTATCTTTTTTCTTTTCTTAAATAAAATTGTGGTCCAACGGTTATGGCGAGATATCTTACGACATGCGAGTAATATCTAAACCATTTGAAAATCATGGATTATGTTGTACATTTTTATTGGTGAAATCCACTTGTTCAGATTTAATATTCTTAAGCTGCAGAGGATTTTAAATAGTTCGAACTGTAATTTCGTTATATTCTTTAAGCTTTTCTGTAAAGCTTAAACTTATCACACCAGATAGCTTTCTTGTGGAACACTACCTAAAATTTCTATTACAAAAAAGTAATTAGACGAATATTTTCAATTAATTTTTTTATTAAATAGTACATAAACTGGTTTTCTATTAAAATCCAAATCCAATATAACAATCATGAGCCCATAATCATGAGCATAATAATCTGAAATCTGAGATTTACATAACGTCTTTCTGTTCCAGTATAGCGTAAATTTATATATTTTCACATTTCCAAATATAGAATTTTATCACAAAATATTGCCAATATTATATAAAAGCAACTAAAATTTTATAATCTTGAGTAAAAATCGTTTCAAAATTAATTTCATTTTTTCGATGTTGAATAATATTTCGATAGTTCTTCTAATAGTTTGTTTTACATATATTATATCATATGTTCATATTAATGAAGTTTAGTTCACCATTTGAGATTTTACCCATTCAAGGTGTTTTGCCAAATCACAATAAACAACAAATTCATTTAAATTACACTGACCGTCTAATGTTTGTCCGATAGAAACAATACCTCGCAACAGCCAATGTTTATTTTTTCTTATCATTAATCCTGAACCGGAGTCCCCAACACAAGGCCCAGATAAATCTCGATTTCCTGCACACAACGTGCGAGATGAGGTTACTGCTTCAAATCCATCAGATGAATGCAAACATTCAATTTCACTAACTATTCTAGCATAAGCTACTCTAGGCCTTGTTGTGCTAATACTGCTGTTCTCAGTTGAACCCCAACCGGCAATATAACCAATTTTGTTAATAATTTTATTGATGTCACTGGCTTCGTTCCACAGACAAATTGGGCTAATATAATCTGTAAAGCTGTTTCAAATTTCTTTATAAATGCTATTTTTACCTGAAATATTAGAGAAACATACGTAACTGATGAAGTTAAAACCAATAAAGCAAGATCTGCATCCGGAATTTTGCTTTTCCTAAAATCGGGATGTATGCTTACTTTTTCAACACCAAAACCTATCATTCCTTGACTATTTTCTTTATTACTGCCGCCTAGTTTGACCCATGATCGATCCGCTGTGAGTTCTCGAAGCTTATAACAATGTGCTGCAGTGATAACTGTACGTGCGGAGATCAGTGAACCACCACAAATGAACATCAATTTTTTATCTGTTTTTTGAAATATGGATGCAAGCCATGGAAATTGACCTTTATTAACTTCAGTTCCAAAGTGAATATATGGTGTTAATACACCAACTTCTTGACCACAAGTTCTGTTATTTTCCATTTCGTCATGTTCGTCATCATCTCCATCGTCGGTATTAATATTCCAATTATGGAATCCAACTGGTAACTGTATAGTACGTACACTGGTGAATGTCATCTTACCAGCATGAGCTAAAACAATAATATTACTCCCAATATTGTAAGTGTAAACATATATTTTTTAGTCACTACTTACGATTGTTCGTAATACAAATTGTGTTGCCATTTACTTGGATCTCCTTAAGAAGTGGTATTTCAGTTTGATCTGGAAAGTTATAACGAAACAGTACTGGTTTTCCCTCTAACACATTCAACAAGGAATCATCAACGTTACTATAGTCAACAAGACCAAATTTACTCTATATTAATTAAAATTTAATACCCTTAATACCATTTACATATACTCGTACTATATTAACAATTTATACTTACGTTTGAGATAGTTTTATTTTGTGTAAATTTTACACTGACTTCTGGTATGCCGGTTTTAAACAAATAGTTTGGAATTTTGAACAGTCCAATTGTTTGGTTATCTTTTTGCTCATATCTGAAGTAGTTGGAGCAATTATTGACATTTTGAGTTGTTGAGATGTATGGAGTGGTAGAGCTTTCTGGTGTCTGTGCAGTCCTTAATGGCAAGTAAATTTTGTAATCAGCAGAAAATATTACCATAGGGGGAGGATCTAGAAAAAGGCTTTAGTTGAATTTTTCATGCATAATTATTATCCAATTGTACTTACAGGTATCATCGGAGCATATTGTGTGGCCATTTACAGCGATTTTAGTGAGCTTCGGATATTCCAATTGAGATGGAAAAGTAAAGCGGTATTCTATTGGTTTTTTATCATAAATATTTTGCATTGCTTTTTGAAAGCCTTCGACGGGTAGAAGACTAAACCCGTCCTAAGAAAACAAAATAGCATAAACTTTTAATTAAGATAAATTTAATAAATTTTGTTAGTATTATGAATTTAGGTTAAATTAAAATTCATAAAAGCAAATCAGCCTGATTATATATTCCTTCGTAACTGTTATTTAAAGATTTGATAATGATGTTAACTTAAAAAGATATCATTAAATTTTAAGTTTTGTTTCATGTATTGAGTATGTCTTACTTTAAAATTTTATAAAGAAAACTTTTAGTTTTTTGTAGTTACAGAAATCACTACAGCATTAGAATTATTAATAATCCCACTAGTTAAACTATCACTTTTGTAAATTAATATTAAAGTAATAAAAAGTATTTATAAAATTATAAATACTTTATTACTAACATGTTGACTGCGGTCGCGTTGGCAGATCTCCACATTTAGAAATAAGTTACTGCCAGTGACAAGATACCTGGGTATAGTCACTATTCCATAGCTGTCATTGCCTTCCGTTACATATCTAAATAGTTCCGGGCAAGCTATGAACGGCTTCATTGGTTCTAATAATGCAGCTAAATTGCTTTTTAAAATTGTGGTAATACACAAAAAAATCGAGCAAATTTTTAAGTTCCTCATTTCAACCATTTTATTTAAACGAAAAAAACACAATTTTATTTTATTTTTTCAAGCAAAAAACGTCAGCATGCACATTGTTTTCTTTTCAAACTAAAATAGAAAATTTAATTATAATACTCAAAAGACTGTGATTAAATTGTTTGCTTGTTGTACTCGGTTGTGAATTCTATAGTTACTTGATAATTATAGTTTAGTGCATAGAATAGTTCAGAGAATACAAAAAGAAAAAGAGAATAGTTTAGAGCAGTTATCAACACTACGAAGAGTAGCTTTTATACTAAAACCAAGAGAAGATTTAAAAACAAGCAGTTTATTTTGTACAATACATATTTAAGATTATTGTTTGATCTCTTCGATACTACACTAATAATCTATTATTTGTGTTCATCATGAACAATGGAAATATTAATTATTTTATTTTATAAAACCTGGCTTCAGAGGCCCCTTGAAGTAATTTACAAATCATTATATATATCATTACAGTATGTTTATACAAAATAATTTGTAATGTAATGTTATTAGTCTTTAAGATTCTAGAACTTATTGTTAGGCTTTAATTTAAAGCGATTCAATAAAGATATATTGTTAAATAAAAGAAAAAAAATGTACAAAACAATTTTAATTTATGCTTAACAATTGGTACTAAACTTATTTTAATATATTGTACTACATTTTGCCAAAAACTACATCTCAGTAAACAACAGTGTCAATGTTCTAACACTTTCTGATTATAATACTTTATTCATACTAATATATGTCAATACTTCTTTATATATTAACCGGATTTAGTAAGCATATTTATAGAAAAAATTATTATAACTGCCAAAAATGTTATAACAATGATTTTTAAATCAGAATAAATTTATTATATCACAAGGTTTGTGAGCCCCAAATATCATAAACCTAATCGGTATATATAGTATAACCATAATAGGGTATACATATTTTTTCATAGACCGAATGTAAATAAAATAATGTAAAATAAATTTAATGAATTAAATACAATAAATATTAAATACAATATTACTTTAGATAGCAAATTTACTTGGAAAAACTATATCAAAGCTAAAAGTAATAAATTTATGCGTCACTTTGGACAATTGTACTGGCTACTCTGCTAAAAATCAAAACTAAGAATGCAAAATAAGCTCCTAGTGTATTAAACAGTAATTGCTCCACTTTGCAAATTTGGAGCCGAAATATGAAACACAGAATGCAAATCGAATATGCAAATTCTGCAAAGAATACAATTAAAAATACTTACCATAGGTCTATCATCAACACTGACATGCACATCTCAAACTTTGATATTTATCGTGACCCGTCGTTGCAGACGTTATCCGAAAAAATTGTAAAAATCACTCAGACAGATTACTTTCGCACCTTATCCCAACAATGAGGCTGGGATTTCCATAATCTATAACTAGCTATCTAACACGAATATAGTACAATTTTAATCTATTTATTGACTCATCTATTTCTAATATTTAATTATCTTACATTATTTAATTTAAGCACGATTTTATTGTTAGCTGTTATTAATAGTTCATATATGTAATTTGTGATATTGATTTTAAATTTTATTGTAATTTTTACTATGTAAAAATGAATACTGCGTGCCAAATCTTGGCAGTTGTATGAATATAGGAAGCAAAAACCCAAAAAAAAAAAATATTCGAAGTTTTCATCAGGAAATTTGAAAACTATAGCATTTACGATGGGTTTTCTCATAAATTTTATTAAGAAAACTATCATTAGTACCCACTTATAATAAAATTTTAACATGGCCCACCTATAATGAATAGTGGGCGCGTGAACACGCATTCCTCATAATCATCGCTGCAAAAATTGTGGAAACCCGCAGGAAAAAGAAATCGTAATACGTTTTCACTGTGATTGCCCGGCTTTGGCATACAGAAAAAATAGGTTTTTAGGAAGATACTTCTTGAACAGTTTTTCAGTCTGTCCATCAGTGAAGATAAGAAACCTATTAAATTACCTAAATTCGACGAGATGGATTTAGTCTCAATTCTTATATACTAGGGGTTCTTGCGAGAAATGTGGTAGTAAAACGCCGAAAAATCGCTAATTGAGATGTATGGGAGTTATCTAATAGCCTGCCACTGCAACTAACCAACCAAATTTTAAGATACTATTATAGTTATTGACATTTATATTACTTCAATTACTAATATATATTTATTATAAACGATATGCGGCTGTTTATTGAGAAATGTTATTAATTCAAGATCTGCAATTGTGAGCAAAATCAGTGACCACAAAAACCAGGATTATTGCTGAAACTTAATTTTTATATAATATTTATTTTATTCATTTTTAATCACACCATAACGAAGTTTTCCATTTTTTTTTTTTTTATTAACTATTCACTGGGGCATTGCAGCATATTATGTTATAGAACTTTGATCATTAATGATTATCGCTGTTTGTTTAAAATGGAATTAAAATATTTAAAATTTATTTTTGAGAATTAAAGCTTTGGCTTAGCGAAGAGTGTTTTGTTATAAGTTCATTTAACAATTTTCCTAACATTCTATTGCATTCATCAAAAAAGATATTTTTACTATTTTCACAGTTTCTAGCACAGTGCTTGATGTGTCCGTTCCAAATCCTCTGCATAAAAATTGCCAAATTTATTGCTTTGCTTTTAGATTTCGGGCATTTCATAAAGCAAATGTTTATAGAAAAATAGACAAAAAAATAATCTTATTTAAAATGCGTAGAGAAAAAACTGAATTATGAAATCTTTTTTCTACGCCAAAACACAAACTGTAATTTTCATAAAACTTCAACAAATTTATGCTGTTTGTACAATATTTTGCCGTAACTTTTTCACATTTTTCTATCTTTCGTTATTATAGCATATTTTTCATTTTTTGTTTTTTTTTTGTGTATAATACATAATATTATATTATAATTATAGAATGATAAGTATTTTATTATATCATTTTAAATATACATTATTATCACAACGTATTTATGAAAATCTCTTAACTTGCTGTGCTCCTTGAAGTATGCATTAAAAATTTATTCAAAATAATATGTTATGTATTTAAGGATATACTCAAATCGTTTATTTAGTTAGCGATTTGCATGAAGCTGAAATAAAAATATTTAACAAATTTGGAAAGGAGCAGGGAAAAAAAGCCGTTTCCAATTTCACTTAATGTACCTAAACGCCTAAATGTACACGAGAGTTCATTATAAGCCTACATTATCGTTTTAATTTGAGTAGAAAGCAAATTTGTTAAGTACCAACAGAACGGAGGGATATTCACTTGATGTGTGCAAGTAAATATTTGAATGAATTTTATATATTCGAATATATTTTTTTCTGTTTTGCCATTTTATTTAGATTTTATTTGAAATGCTGTAAAAACTCTAAAAGCATTTTTCAAATTTTTTTAAAAATTTTCTAAAATATTTTTTTACACTTTTTTTAACATGTTTAGAATAACATTTCATGAACTTTTTTCTTAAAATTTAGCTACACATTTTAAATTGTATGTGTATTTTCACATATTTTTAGAAATTTAATACTATGTACGCCTATATGTAAGCTCTGACTTTTATTACATTATTTCGTACACATATATTAGCCGGATTCCTCACACAATCCACACACAATGGCTGCCTGGATGCGATGTGCTAAACAACCTAGAATCCTTATTTGCTATTAACTCACGAACACAAAACAGTGAAAACTAAATCAAATCCGTTTTTATTATATTTTATTTTTATTTTAGCTCTGCTCTCTACTATTTTATACGTTTTTTGTGTAATGGTTGCTTTTTTCATTGTCAGTTTTAGGTTTTTCAGCGCTCTTTATTACTGCATGTATCTTCCTGTGACACTTTTTTTTTGTTTAATTTTGTTAAATTTTCATCCTCCATGCATTTATACTATTTATATATATTTGTAGTTTGAATTTTAGCTCGTGTGCGATATCCTTGTAAACCCTTTCAATCTTTTTGCATCGTCCAGAAATAAATAATCTTGTTACGAAAATAAAAGGCACACAATGTGCTTTTCGCACAAATATGGACGTGTAAACAGATGCTCTACTGTAAATATTGTTGTCCTTGCAATTCAACTAAGTGGAAAATATTTTATTTTTACATTTTCATTCGCTACATGCTACATGAAACTCAAATTTTTCGTTTAAGTTCAGAATTTTAGTAGGAGTAAATTCACCAAAACCACAAAAAACATTTAAAAAAAACTTTAACTTAAAGCGGTACGAGCAATAAATTTTGACTTTCAAAGTTCTTACACGCAGATTTAAATATAGTTCGTGATTTAACTAAAAGGCAAACATGGAGAACGGTGTCAAAATATAAAGGTATATACATGTGAATAGAGTTCAAATGATTTTTGATTGAAAGGAAGGACTTCTGATTGAGTCACTTCATGTGCAGTCTCAGAAAATGAATATAATTCTATTAACAATTATATTTAAAATATTTTCTGGAATATCTCGAACTGCATCGATGCACATCTGAAAATCGCAATTGTTTTTATTTTATTTTTGAACTAAAACAATATTTGCATATTATGCGAAAACAGTGCATATAAGGAAACGAAAAAAAAAATGAAAAAAAATTTAAGTGTTGTAAAATGATTTTATTTACTATTATAATTTGATTGTAAAATTTTAATTCTACCTCACTGGGTAGCACAGGTATGTTTTTTGACAGTTATTAAGTTTTAAGGCAGAATACAATAGTATTAAAAATAAATAAATATACTGAAGCTCGTAATATGAAAAGAATTATACATATTTTCAGTTACCAAAACACTTATTACAAGAACTCTTCAATTTAATTGATAGCATAGTTTTTCTAAATTTAGTGCATTATTCCACCAATATTTCAATTTATGAATCATATCTCTGCAGTTGCTTTATGGGTCCACAAAATGTCATTCTCGTTATACAAAAATAAAAATTGTTTTTATTCAACTTATCAAGTATGTCAAGACCCGTAAATCAGAGTAGGTCCCTGTGATAGGGACCTCTAATAGGCTAAGCACGAATATTTTGGAGCTTTCA